CGGCCACGGAGCCAGCCAGAGGCCGCCCCCTGCAGACGCGCCGCGGGAGGGCCGCCTGGGTCTCCCACGCGCTGCTTGCCTGGCTGGGGCTGCCCTCGGGGTTTTTTGATCCACCCAGCTTCTCACCTTTACAAAGAGAAGCGTAGAAAAGTAGCTCTGTGCTGGCGGGAGGAGGACGGGTGGCAGAGCCCTGCGCCCAGGAACTCCGGAGCAGCAGCGCGGGACTAGACGAGGCGCCGCTGCGCGGTGGCCACTGCTGCCCAGAGAGGACCGCGCCTGCCTCGGACACGGCCCTTCCGCCTCCGCCCGGACGCGGCCTTCCAGGGCAGGGCAGGCGGCGGCACTCGGCCCGCGTGCGTGGTAGGGACGGTGCTCAGAAGCCCTTGGGAACAGGACCTGAGTGGTCACCCATCTGCCAGTGTCACCGTGACAGGGACGATGGCGTTTCCGGCCACGGGGGTGGCACAGAGCTGCGTGTCCAAGTGCTGGTCAGGGCTTGCCTCCAGCCCCATCCTCTGGGCTCCCCTAGGGCTGTCTCCCTGAAACGCGGGGCGCCTCTCACCCCTCCATGGAGAAATACTGTAGCATCTATTTACAACGTCCCTCGTCGCTAGACCGCAATTACTGGTGTCTGAAAAAGGTGCAGCCTCTGGCCTCTCTGGGGCGCAGGGGGGAGACTCAGCGCTTCTGCAGCCGCTAGGCACGAGTGCCATCCCAGCTAGGGAGGGACCCCAGGGCACAGCAGACCCCTCCTGTCTCCCCCCTGCTCCCCTCAGCAGTGGGTTTCAATGGATCCGCCTGTTCTGCTCCCCGCTCTCTCTCCTGTACCCCAGTTCTTGTATGCATAAATAAATAAAATAAATCTTTTCTAAAAAGTACAACTTCTGAGAGGGAGGGGCCTGGGGTGCTGAGTCAGCATCCAACCAGGGCCTGTGGACAGTAAGGAAGGACACCTAGCACGTGAACTGCAACCTCCAGCCCCCACTGTGCTCTCATGCAGTGGACACATCAAGCATCTCTCACGCCACGTCAACACCTGCCACATCTGCTCCCCTCCAAGTGAAGTCCATCCTGTCACCACCAGGAAGGTGCCCTGGGCACAGGCCCAAGCCTCGGCCTCTGCTGTGGCAGAGCTAAGCCCCGCCAGGTAAGTCATGTCCTTTAGAGCCACATTATTCAGTGTGGTGCTGACCTGACATGTACCTGCTCTTTGGAGAGCTTAGCACTGTGACGCAACGTCCCATCCCACGGAGACGTCCCTTACTTCTCTTTCATAAAGGTCTTCCGTGGCCTCCAGCATAGCGGGTCTTAGGGAGCAGCATTCCCATTCACGTGGCAAGAGTGAACTCTTGACATCAGGGTGCTCTTCCCAGCTGGAGGGGTGAGAGCTTTTGCACTGACTCAGACCCCATGGAGATGCTTTCACGGGGATGAGCTGAGCACAGAGGGGGCGTCCCAGTGGCTCCGAATTATGACAGCTAATGCGACATACCCGGGGGCCAGCTGGGAACGCACGGAGGCCCTGCCCACTGCCACCGCCCCATGTGCCCAGCCTGCTGCAGATGAGCAACGCTGTTGGGTGATGTCGGCTCACAGGAGGGCTTGGGTCTGGCGGGGCACATGGGCTAATCGCAAGAACACCGGAATGAGAGACTCAGCCCCAGCCCAGGCCTTCCAGAGACTCCCTGTGCCTTCTCCTGCTGGGACATCTGGTTTGGACATCTGTCTCCCAGATGCGTTTGGGCCGGAGCTCTGAGCCCTTCCAGCTGACACAGAGAAGCTCCTTGCGGGCTGGTGTCACCAGGTACATA